GCGTTGACTCGTCAAACTCGTCAAACACGTCAAACTCGTCAAACTCTCTGATTTTGGCGAATTTATCAATTGTGAACCACGAAAATGTTAATAAGCACCTCGTATAACAAATTTGATAAGTAAATAATAATCGCAGCTATCTAAATTTAGCACCTTATTTTGTGTAGCAATGCATGTTCCCCCAAACGAAACCCTAATGTTCTATTACACTTTATGTTACACATTGGTCTAGGGTAGAATTTATCATTTTCTCAGATGCTCTCCTTATAACAAAAACACGTTCAATACGTCATAATAGACCCTGTACACAACTTTGAACCATCGGAATGTCATTTTGACCACACGTTGACCGCGTTGACTCGTCAAACACGTCAAACTCGTCAAACTCGTCAAACATGTCAAACTCTCTGATTTGGCGAATTTATCAATTGCGAATCACGAAAATGTTAATAAGCACCTCGTATAACAAATTTGATAAGTAAATAATAATCGCAACTATCTAAATTTAGCACCTTATTTTGTGTAGCAATGCATGTTCCCCCAAACGAAACCCTAATGTTCTATTACACTTTATGTTACACATTAGTTTAGGGTAGAATTTATCATTTTCCCAGATGCTCTTCTTATAACAAAAACACGCTCAATACGTCATAATAGACCATGTACACAACTTTGAACCATCGGAATGTCATTTTGACTACAGGTTGACCGCGTTGACTCGTCAAACACGTCAAACTCATCAAACACGTCAAACTCGTCAAACTCGTCAAACTCAGAAACCCCTAACATGAAACCCCGAATGCGTGTTACGACTTTGACCAGTGTTATGAGTTGATTAGTGTTTACGATGAGTTTGACGAGTTTGATCAGTTTGACGACTGTTTTTACCATATAATACACGAGTGAATTAGTCCAAATATGATTTGATAATGTCATTACATGCACGAACATAATATTATGACTCATACGTCTGTGATATCATTGATGTACTGACCGAACCTACCGAACATGATTTTTTTTTTTCGAGTCTAACCAGGTCTAGAAAATCGGTTTTGTTTAAACCTTCCACTTACTCGTTTTTCTTCCACTATAAGCGGCAATACCACTACATCTACGTGTATTGGATGAGTTTTTGGAGATTTCACTTGTTTCTTGCAGCAAATTTACCAAAAAATCGCGCTGGAGAAGAGATATTCAAGAGAGAGAAGAAGAAAAACTCGAAGAGAGAGAATGCGATGTATGGCGGGAGACAACGATAAAGAGGAGAGAGAAAATGAGTAAAAAGTAGATCTATATTTTATTTATTTTAGTATATTATAATATTATATAAATAAAGGAAGGGTATTATAGGGATTCTATATTTATAAGGGTATATTTGATGTTGCCGTTTTTTTGTTACTGTGTGAGGGTATGAGCTGTAAGTGAAATCGACATTTAAGGGTATTTTTGCAATTGACCCACAACAACCTTTGCGAATAAAATAAATAAATAAATAAATATTTTCAGAAAAAAAGAAAACACACACAAGAAAACAGATCCGAAGAGATTTGTTTCTTCTTCCTCCTCTTGTTGTTTCTGAACAGAATTCGAATCACCCGAATCCTCTCTCTCCAAAGTTACAGAAGGTAAATGGGCTACAAAAGTTTTCTTTTTTAATTTCGTCGTTCATAAAAATAACACAAAAAGGTTTAATTTTTTTTTATTAATAGCGTTAGAAGATTGAAACTTTATTCGAGGGTTGTCGTTGTTTTATGATTTTGCGTCGTGGGTCATGTTGAGAATTTTCCAATGCTTGACGGCGACGGCGACATTGATCGGGTTTTGCCGAATTAGGGTTTGTCTTCTGCTATATTGTCTCGAGAAAGGGAAGAGGAAATCAATAGAAGCAGTTTAAACGTTGTTTCGACTTTTGGAGATTATATGTCTTTATTGGAGATTATGCGTAGAATCGAATCGGTGTTGATTCTACATGTTGTCTCTATCGTTCTTCTGAAAGATCTGAACGTGCGTATATATACCCACACATACATATATGCGCGCACACACACACACACACACATATAGACTCATATTTTGAGATCAAAGTTGAGTTGTGTGTCTGTGTTAAGGAGAAGATGAAGTTTGGAGATACGTTCGCTGAATATCTGCATGGAGAGGAGGAATGGTTTCTGGAAAAATGTCGACATATCGAGTACAAGAAGCTTAAGAAGGTACTGAAGAGGTGCAAATCATGTAACAGTAACACGACGAACTCAAACTCTGGATCCGGACATGGACGACAGAACTCATCATCACCTCTCCCTCGACCGCCGTGCCAATGCCAATCTTGCCCTTGTAAGTTTTCATCGTTCTTTCGTGAAATACGCTTCTGTCTCGTAGAGAATTCGACTCAAATCTTGGCAAGAGAGTTGAAAAAGTCCGGTTCTTTGTGCATGTAATTCACCGATTGTTCGATGTTCTTGAAGAGAAAGGGGATTTCGTTATGTATTTGTCGATTCTTTTGCGGGTTTGACGCGTTATTTTGTCAGAAACTAGGCGGTAGAGAGGTGTTAACATAATTAAAGAGAATACTGCTGCAGGGTGTGATGAGATGTTCTTCTCTGAGCTGATGAAGGAAGCTTCGGACATAGCCGGATGCTTCAAGTCAAGAGTCAGAAGTCTTCTCCATCTTCACGTGGCCACCGGGATGCAGAAATACGTGTTACGTTTCCGCAGATGCTTTGCAGACGACACTCAGACATTGCTACAGGAGGGTCAGATCTTGATCCAGTACATCACGATGAACGCTATAGCCATCCGTAAGATCCTCAAGAAATACGACAAGGTTAGGTGTATAATACCGCCGAAAATTTCGATTAAGGGAAAAGGCGAAATCCCGATATATAGTTTTGTAATGAGAGAGGCATTTCGGGGGTTTTTAGGTGCATTGCTCTGAGAACGGGAAGAATTTCACGATGAAGATGAGGGCTGAACGGATAGAGCTCTTGCACTCGCCTTGGCTCATAGAGCTGGGAGCTTTTTACCTCAACTACGGGCTCGATAAGGCGAAAAACGTCGACAGTTCGTGTGGCCAAGTCTCATGTGATCTGAAAGCCGAACAACCCGTGATGAAACTCACGCTGCCGAACTCAATAGAGCTGGAGTTCGATCTCACCTGCGCCATCTGCCTTGTAAGAAAAGAAAAAAACACCGCCCTTTCGCCCATATATACATTCAAATATATATACATACATCTATACGCATCGAAATCATGTCTTTTAAGACAGGAGAAATCTTTGTTTGATGAAACAGGAAACAGTGTTCAATCCATACGCGTTGAAGTGCGGTCACGTCCTATGCAAGGCGTGCCTTTGCTCGGCTGCCTCTGTGATGATCTTCGAAGGCGTTAAAGCCGCCGCTTCCCATTCAAGATGCCCCATTTGCAGAGAGGTATTTGCTCTTTGAATCACAAACACGTATATATCTATCTATATATATATACACACTTTCTCTTGAATTTTCTTACATGGAGTGATAATATATATATATATACACACACGCACACCACTTGCAGGCTGGAGTTTATGCTGATGCGGTCCGAATGGCCGAGCTCCATCTTCTGCTAAAGACAAGGTGAGATACATCCGAATCATAACAACTCCTTGAGTTTTATTGGGATCATTACAAGAGTGTTAGTGTCTCAAAAAAATTGATAATTGTAACGGATCTAAACCCATAATTAAGAGGATGAAGTGTATCAACTGGAACTCTGACTAAATTTGATAAAGTAGTCTTATTACTTGCATTACAAGGTAACCACTTTCTCCATGTTTTAAAAGAAATTTGATTTTTTTTTGTTTAGCTTTTAGTCTTTAACTTGGAATATAAACTGTCGACCCCCAAATTTCTCATCATATTCACCCGTCTATATATATATATATATGTGTGTGTGTGTGTATATGTATATACATGTCGTTTTGATTGTGGTGGTTTGGAGGATGAAATTAAATGAATCGGAGGATACGTACGTGTTTTGCCTGCAGATGCAAAGAGTACTGGAAAGAGCGGATGATCGCTGAACGTTCTGAGATGGTGAAGCAGTCCAAGATATTCTGGAATCAGCAGACCAAACACATGATCGGTTACTAATTATCCATATTGCTAGCTCTTATATATATATATATATATATATATGAATTATCATCATTCTCTCTTTGCATAAAGATTGAGCTCTCATGATGGTTGGGGAGACTCCGTGGTATCATTATTAACAATATCATCTTCATCATATTATATTTTTTTTTTACAAGGAGTCATCATATTATATTATTATTGTTGTTGTTATTAAATCGTAAATTAAGATGAGAAAGTTCGGACAAAATCGAATAAAACCGTTTTAATATTTCACTATTTTTATTAAATAAAAACATAATTATTTTCAAGTTTATAGTCACGTATTCAATATTTTAGATTTGTCGAATATACGATAACAATCAGATCTCTTTTTGCTAACAATGATATCCGGTTTCAAACGTCGTGCCTTAATATAAGACGAGATGGACGAGACGAGAAATTCGAACCGCGGGTTGAGTTCGGTTATAAGACTAGTGCCGGATACCAGTATATCATATATAATTCGAAAAGACTAATATACCCTTTTATTTGTAAATATTTATAAAAAACCCCTAGGCTAATTTACGGTATTTACTCTACCCCTATAACAAACGCTGAGTTTCTTCTCGGCTGATCTCACAACGTCTCCTTTCACTCTCTCTCCTCTTTCGCGCCGTTGTTGCTGACTCCTCTCTCTTCCCTTCGATTTCAATTTTCCTTCAGTTCACCTTCGATCTCTCTTCGCCGCCTCAAACTTCCGGCGAGATTCCCTTCGTTTTACCGTCATTGAGCTTTTCCGGCTCTGTCTCCGCCGAACGAGGTAAGGATCTCTGTCTCTTGGTCGGTTTTCCACGATTTAGGGTTTCGGTCGTTTAGTTTCCGTCGATTTAGGGTTTCCGTCTTCTTCTGTCTCCTCTGTTGGGCGTTTTAGGGTTTCGGTCGATAGCTTTCTGTGTTCTTGATTTGCCACTCGTCTATGGTGATTTACATGTTCATATATCGAAATAGGTTCCATGGAATGTGCGTTAAATGTCGATGAGTTTTAGTTAGAGTTTTGGAGGGCATTTGTCAGAATTAAGAATCTCCATGTAGACGACAGATTTCTTCTGTTTAGTAGCCGTTTTTTGGTCTGTTTGTTTTTGGCAATGTGTTTGCTATGTGGCTTTACATTCATTGACGGATGTTAGGTTAGTGGAGTTGGAGTTGTTCTGTATAACTCCAGAAGTGAGTAGTAATTTTACAATCTAAAAATATTAGTTGCCGAATGCAAGATAGACATCAGAGACATTTGGCATCATCATCAGAGACGATAAACTCAGAGGTACATAATTAAGTCATCCTCCTTTTGTTTCACTTGTGCAAGGACTTCTAATCGATTCGGGTTGAAACATTATCAAAATGACCTGCCAGTTGTACCGAAGAAGGCGTCCATCTTCATCATCCAAGTAGACCGTTGGAAAGTTACGTTACAAGGGGACAGGATCGCTTCAAGAAACCCTCCTCTTCAACGTTGACGGTTCAATGAAAACGTTTTTGCGTTCGTCCGATGGTCGTACAAGAAAGATGACAGCGGTCATGGTGAACATGTGGATGTCATTGTGAATGAACTGAACACATTCAGTGTTCCGTAGAACGCGACGCCGTGAACAGCGGCTGAGACGTTCGACGGTAGCGTTCTGGGCTTCTCGGAGCCGTTCACGTTGCGATACTTGCGTCCGAGGAGCTTCGTGACCGGAAATATGCAGAAGAGATCGTATGCGCCCGTGAAGAATCCCATTCCTGATCACTGTGAAATGATACCATTGCGTTTTGGCTACTTACCCGCGATATTTTTTTTTTCTTTTTTAAAATAAGATATAAAAACCCAATGCGTGTATTTTTATTAAAAAAACAAACAAACAAATTGAATAAAAAATAGCCCGTTTGAAATATAAATGAAAACTAAAATGAGATTTTTAATTTATATATGACACAACACTAATACTCTTTTATGAATCATGAATTTTTGTTTTGGAACCTTGAAATGAATATTCTGGAATTTCTCAACAAAAGGTCATAAAAGATCACTTTGTTGAAAAATTCAAGAACCGTAGGAGGTCTTCGGTCGTGATGATCTGCACCATCTTGCTTTGGCAAAACACACGTGCATGGAATATTAAAGGTGTAATCGATGGTAACGCAGTTTTTCTATCAAGTTAGTATCAATCGTCAATAAACGCATCGTAAACGTTTGTAATCGCTGCAGTTGCGATTGTGATTCCACCCATCCACATCTATATGTCGTGTGAAAAATAATATATATTTGAAGCACAAAAGTAATGAAGATTAGAGATAATTTCGCAGCAACGACAAGATTAACACCAAAATTTATATGTTTTGTGGCTTTTCCATAGAGATCTCAATCGAACATATCCAAAACATGAAACAAGACTTTAAATAGAAACTTTTAAAATTTTTATATATTTTTAAGGGAATTTTTTAAATAAAAAACAGATGTTGATAAATATCGCACGTGTGGTTTTTAATATTAATGCAAATAGTCTAGGAAATAACAATTACAATTATGTCGGGTGTAGTCATAACATTCCTGTAAAGATTAATTTATTATTTCATTAAATCCGAACTTGGTATCATGAAAATTCCATGCATGCATGCATGGAATATGAAGCATTTTCTTCATCCTCTGAGTTTCCTCTGAGTTTCTCTCGTCATCCTTTTTCTCCTTTTGGGATCAACCTCATTTCATCAGATCTTCACGGGGGCGAAATTCTCCGACGATAGTTTTGTCGAATATCTCCATCGAATTTGAAAATGCTTTGTCTTCCGGTGTTGTAAGGGAGGGGCAAAGAGGATCAAATTGGTTGATGATCTCTGTAACAACGAGCACCTGGGGTTTCATCGAGCTCTGCCGATTCGATTTGACGTCCGGGGAATCCGTAATCCAATGGATTCGTTGGTTCTGATGGCGTTGGTGAGTGGGTTGGTTGTTTGGCGAGGGAGAGATACGGAGGCGTCGAGAAGCTGAGAGAGAGCGAAAATAGAAATTAGGGTTTCGATATTGGGGGAGTTTTGGATGGGAAACACATGCGTCGGCCCGAATCTGAACGCTAATGGATTTCTGCAATCTGTTAGTAACGCAGTTTGGCGGAATCAGCAGAAACCAGAGGAAAGTCTCCCGCCGGACAGGAAGGATGATCAAAGCAGCCGGAAAACCAGCAATAACGGCGCGAATGGCGAGGATCAGTCACCTCCCGGAGGCGGATCCTCCGTGGCTCCGGCGCCGGGGTCTGTGCAGAGCACGCCGCCGGAGCCCGTGAAGATGACGGACGAAGCGAGCAAAAGCGAACAAGGAAGCAAGACGGAGGAGAACAGCGACGCGAACGCGAAGCAGAAGAAAGAGGTTCAGATGAAGCGAATTGCAAGTGCTGGTTTACAGATCGAGTCAGTTTTGGGAAGGAAGACAGAGAATCTGAAAGACATTTACAGTGTCGGGAGGAAACTAGGACAAGGACAATTCGGGACAACGTTTCTGTGTCTGGAGAAGAAAACAGGGAAAGAATTCGCCTGCAAAACGATTGCGAAAAGGAAACTGACCACTGCTGAGGACGTGGAAGATGTAAGACGAGAGATTCAGATAATGCATCACTTGTCAGGTCATCAGAATGTGATTCAGATCGTAGGAGCATATGAAGATGCTGTCGCAGTTCATGTCGTGATGGAGCTTTGTGCAGGTGGAGAGCTCTTCGACAGGATTATACAGAGAGGGCATTACACTGAAAGGAAAGCTGCTGAACTTGCTAGGGTTATAGTAGGTGTCATCGAAGCTTGCCATTCTCTCGGCGTGATGCATCGAGATCTAAAGCCTGAGAACTTTTTGTTTGTAAATGGTGAAGAAGAAGCCGCACTCAAGATGATAGATTTCGGTCTCTCTGTCTTTTTCAAACCAGGTATGCCTTTGTTATGTCTGTACTGTAACTGAGATATGTTTCTTACCTGAAACTAGATCCATCCCCCTCTTTGTCTGTTCGTGAAATTTCGATGTTTTTACTTCAATCATCAAATGTGTCCCCCCTAGATTTAGTAGATTTCCTAATCGTATATGCGTTATGTTGAGCTTTTTGCCGGGTGAATTTGTTCTTTCCTCACCAACTGCGTGTTGCAGGAGAAACATTCACTGATGTAGTTGGAAGCCCTTATTACGTTGCTCCAGAAGTGTTGCGGAAGCATTACAGCCATGAATGCGATGTTTGGAGTGCGGGAGTTATCGTTTATATTTTGTTGAGCGGAGTTCCTCCATTCTGGGACGGTAAGAAACACGGGCATGCGAGTGCTTCTAGTATGTTTTCATGATTCTACAGATGAATGACATATATAGACTGATCGATTCTACATATCAGAAACGGAACAAGGAATCTTCGAGCAGGTTTTGAAAGGTGAGCTCGACTTTATATCAGAACCATGGCCTAGTGTATCAGAAAGTGCAAAAGATTTGGTAAGAAGGATGCTGATCAGAGATCCTAAGAAGAGAATTACAGCTCATGAAGTTCTTTGTGAGTATTCTTCTTTTCTTTTAAGCTCATCTTTCTGTTGTAAAGGTGAGAATAACATGGCTATATTTATGTGGGTTTGCATATTCTTGTTTTCGGCAGGTCATCCTTGGGTCCGAGTGGACGGTAATGCTCCCGATAAACCTCTCCATTCTGCAGTCTTAAGTCGTTTGAACCAGTTTTCAGCCATGAACAAGCTCAAGAAAATTGCTATCAAGGTAAGCACTCACGAGGTTTCTATCGTGAAAAACCGAGAAGTGGGACAGATCTGACGAGCCATTTACTTATTCCATAATCCCACAAGGATTAGACCTCATTTTCTTTCACATTACCGACGTTAATGGGGGGCAAAGAGTAATTGATAAGGATAACCGATAATAGCCTTCAAGATTAAACGTGCCTCAGCCTGAAACTTCTTAATGATGAGCAGAAATCAGGTTTTTGCCTGAAATTATTTCCATTTGAAGAATCACCAAATGATGTGAAGCTATTGAAATCGCCTTTTTTTTGGTGATGGTTCAGCTATTAGCATGATTTGTTCCCTAAAATCCCTGTTCAATGACCAATCCTGTCCATGGAACTTGCTCGCTTGTGTTCAGATCATTGCAGATAGCCTCTCGGAGGAAGAAATAGCAGGACTGAAGCAAATGTTCAAGATGATAGATACAGACAATAGCGGGCATATCACTCTTCAAGAACTTAAGAATGGTCTCGAAAGAGTGGGTGCCAACCTTCAAGATTCAGAAATCGCAGGTTTAATGCAAGCGGTAAGTCTACTGATTCTTCTCTTGGATTCAGTTTTTCATCTTCCCATCTTTTTTTCAATCAAACACATATCAGTAAAGGCATAATCTATGCACAAGTACTCAATCTGTGTCTCTGTCTCTATGATTAACAAAGAATACGAATACTGAACAGTTAATTGTTTGTTTCTGATCTATTTCGAGAATGTTCAATCGTGCGTTAGAAAATAAAGCTCCGAGTTTTGATCTTGCCCAACTTTTGTAAACCTGTAGGCGGATATAGACAACAGTGGAACCATAGACTATGGAGAGTTCATAGCAGCAATGGTGAATCTAAACAAGATACAGAAAGAAGACCACTTGTTCACTGCCTTCTCCTATTTCGACAAGGACGGTAGCGGCTATATCACCCGGGACGAGCTCCAGCAAGCCTGCAAGCAGTTCGGCTTAGCGGATTTCCATTTAGACGACATATTACACGAGGTCGACAAGGACAACGTAATGAATTTCACACACCCTCCTCCTTCTTTGTTTTCTTTCCTTTGATCCACTTTCAACACAAAGCTGCACACACACATATACATACTATATATATATATATATATTCATGTTGATTAGGGAATTGATAACCAAGGTTAAATTCACCGTCACATGAATTATGTTGGGCACAGATTGGGTACTCGAAAAATTTTAGGATATTCAAACCCGTATTCGAATTATGGAGATATCTGTATTCGTACCCGAGTGTCTCGGGTACCCATCATCAACTTTTAATTCTCTGTACCCGTACCTATTGGATGGATAATAAAAAAAATGTCTCACACCCATGAAAGGATGGGTACCCAAAAATCGGGTATCATGGAATCATTAGCATCTTTGATATAGAATCATTACCATTGATTTGACGTATCTTTGTTGTCTCGTTTGTTGTCAGGATGGACGAATAGATTACAGTGAGTTCGTGGACATGATGCATGACACAGGGTTTGGTAAAATGGCTTTAAGAACTTGAAATACCATCCCAAACGCAGGATCCTTGATCCTCTCCATGGTGTGTCGGACACGGACATTGCCGGTATACACACATACATATATACGATCGATCAAACTACTTTAACCTGTAAGTTAAGGTTAACGTTTTGCTCGTTGGATTGTTTTCTTCGTTTTGTCCGAAACGTTGATCTCGTGGATGCGCATCTGCCGCTGTAAAAAGATCAGATCAGGCTAGTTTTACATGCTGCAGGTTTCTTCGGCAGAGTGTTTCACTGTAACTACATCTTTGTTCTAGGAAATGATCATAGAGGTTTTTGAAGGATGAACTGCAACTTTCTCTGTCATATATATACGTGTAACATCTCCGATGCGGTTGCGGAGTAATCCTATTATTTCCCCTGGATAGATTTGTTGTTGACGGTTCTGGATTATATGCCCAATTTACATGTGTGTGTAATGTATATATATATTGACCTTTTAAATTTTTTTCTTTTTCGATTTTATTTCGAAATTCTGTATATAAATGTATATGTATGCAAGTATATATGTGTATATGTATATATATATTATGTATGTACATATGTGTATATATACATATCTGCCTCCAGCTCCCTTTGCCGCCATTGAAATCGAGATCGAGAAAAGTGTCTGGAGAAGTGTAGCAAAATCATTCTGGGTTTTTGCATACGTCCGGCGAGGGCGAGGGGGCTTAGGGAAGGCGAGCACTGAGGACGAGAGCGAAGGCAAAGGATTACAGGGAGATGACCCGAAATACCCGCGGATACCCGAGTGGCGAAACCTTCAAGCCCGACCTATGGACATCGACCCGAGTTTCTCAGACACAGGACCCGTGCCTGTTTTTCGAATTACAAAAACAGAGCTTCCTACGTCCTGATTTGGCGTTTCTCTACAACATGGTTGGTGTTACAGACGACTGAAACCCCTACCTACCGAAAATTACAAGACAAGACGAGAGTCTAAATCTTCCATGGATCCGACAGCTTCCCTCTAGCTCCAATTCTCCGTCACATCCCCTGAAACATGATCAAACAAACAATGAAACAGTAACATGACCAGCTCCAAGATGAAGCACGCATGTTTTCGTCAAATTTATTCACTTGATGCGGAACAACCAAGTAGAACTTATCCGGGCATGGCCTCATCGCATGTCCGTGACACTTTTATCGTCCATAGCGTTAGCTTTCAACCGAATCTTTGTTCAAAATACCGCTTTCCAGAACCCATCTGATTGGGTATTATGGATACCGAGCTAAAAAAGAAAACTTTTAAGCCAGCATTCTTCTGTCTCGGTTCACACTACTAGACTGGCATGCCATGAGTAAATATAGTAAGAAGCAGCAATATTAAGAGGGTTGAGCCATGGGGAGGTAAAAGGAAGCAGATTTACCTGAATCATGGCTGAAGAATTCTCCTGGCCTAAAGTCACGACATAAGGCTGAATTTTAAAAGGTTCTGCAATTGTATGGCTGAGCTCGTAATTCACAACCTTCGCCCCGAAGATATTGAACCTTCCCACGCTATTGTAAGCAACTTCAGCGTCAGCACACTTCTTGAAAACTACTCTCGCCCGGCCGGTGTCCCTGTCTACTTCTGTCTGAAACTCCCGTATCGGTCCAAAGTGCCTAAACATTTTGTTCAGGCTTATCTCTGAAGGCATAATATCCATTTCCGAGAAGTTCATTATCAGCTCAGCCGGTGCATTCTCGTGAAAGCCCGCTGGTTTATCCGAGGCCAAAAGAGAACTAGTATTATTGGTATTGTTACTATTGGTACTCTCGGCATGTTTCCTTTTAGTGTACGGCCGACGACTCCTTTTAATCTGAGCAGGTTTCAACTCAACCGGCACAATCTCGTAATCTCCTTTTTCATCTGGTGGTGTTTGCTCTACACCACGTTTATGGATCACCCTGTCAGTCCAGGACATGTCATCCGTTTCTTCAAACTCAAATGCTTCTGTTCCTCCTATATTAGAATCCGACGATCTAACTCTTTTGCCGCTCACTTTACCAGGAGGTGGATGTTGCGAAACCATCGAGTCTCTGTAGACTAAGAAAAATCCAGCAGCAATCTCGGAAACAACATTTTCTTTCACAGGATCTGTGGCTGCGGATTGAAGCTGTGATAGAAAATTTTCGGCAGAAAGATCATCATTGAAAGTACTATCCTTCGAAACTGAAGCAGGGCCTGCCATCTGGCTAGCGGCTCTGGCTATGCATGAGCCGATTTCAAAGGATGGCGTCTGGGGGTGATACGGGCTAACAGACACCCTTGCCGCTGAAATGGCCTTCCTGAATTCTCGTGACGATTCTTCGTCATGTTCAGAACCCTCGGGTTTCTCTGCCATTTCAGTATCTAGCATCTGGTTTGGATCAACGTTAGGAGCTTTGTGTGCATCACCCTCTTGCTCTGTGATCATATCTTTTTGTTCTTCTGTACTTTCCCCTTCTCGGTGTTCTTCACCAACAGAAGAACCCAAATTTGCATCAGAATTCTCTTTCGGATGATCTGAAGCAGAAGCTGGACGATCATGTGCTTGATTATTTACAGAATCCACACCCCCTCTGTCGAATTCCATTCCGTCAACTGTGCTTGGATCACGAGATTCAAGATTGGTTGCTGTGTCCTTGCCTTTGGACCCGTTTAACACTGGTTCTTGAAGATTTCCAAATGACCCTTTTACCTCGATATCGGGTTTAAGACCATCTTGACCATTCACAGTGGTAACTCCCTTTGCTGTGTCAGCAACGTCTGTATTATCTTCCCCAGATACATTCCCACTGTCAGTTCTTATTTCTTGACTATTGCCTGACCAAGATGATACACCACTGAAATCAATATAGTTGGCAATATCAGAATTTGGATCAAAAAGAACATTATGATCCATTTGTTCAACTTCACCTGTAGAAGCACCTTCGATAGGATTGTCCGGGTCTGTTGAATCTTTAGAGACGATTCTATCCGTAACATCCTCCACCGTACCATCATTATCCCCTTGCTCCTCGACGTATTTATTCCGAGTCTCTTTCTTCTTCTCAACATTGGAACCTATTGAAACATCTGGAGTTTTTATCGTATTTGCATCAGAAGATTCCTTGTCAACATTCCCCGCAACGCCACCAAGTTCATCAATTTCCATGGCTTCTCCCATTTCTTTTCTGTGGTCAATGTTCGTAATTTGTTCTTCAGGACTTGTTTCTGCGACAGAAGTATGCTTTGTGGAGTCATGAGCATTACCCTCTTCGGCTTTCAGTTCCTCCCCATCGACAACCTCAGAAATTTCCCCTTTTGTAACTCGGTCAGGCTCCTCCAGAGCTGGAACAGGTTCTGAAGTCTCGGGATTTATCTGTACACCACGTAAAGGACCAACTTTCTCGTCTTTCACCTCGCTAATCATATTTTCACTATCACAATCCATTTTTTCATCATCCTCCTCGCTCTTTTTTACCGATTTCTTCTCTTCACTGCCCTTAATCACTGCAGTATCTGAACTTTTTTCTGTATCAACAACTTTGGTTTCCCCAACTTCACCTTCACCACCCGATTCAGCTTCAACATCGCACTTTGCTTTCTCATCAGTCACATCACTACCGACTGAGATTACTGTCTTCTCCGTTTGTGTGCTTTCAATTTCACCATTTTTCCTCTCAACCTCTGGTGTCACTGTATCATCTGTAATTTCAACCTCACCTGAGGCAACTGTTTCCTCGCATATTTCAACATCATCAAAAGGCTCAGTACCCTCTGTCTCGTTCAGCGGTTTCACAACATGGTCCGAACCCTCTACCATACTAGCATCCCAGTTACAGTCCTCCACATGAACATCAACTTTAGAACCTAGGGTTTCAGTTTTAACAGATACACCAAGTTTCTCACCAGCTTCCTTCACAGACTCTTGGCAATTACCAACAAATCCACCTTCCTCCTTGTGTTCGTCCATGGAAAAGATCTGGGCATGGCTCAAACTTACTCAAAATCCCAAAAAAAACCATAAAAGACGAAACTTTAACTGTTTAATCCTAACAAATTCCTCGAAACGAGACATGGGTGTTCACAAAACCATGGAAGTACCCAGATTCCAAGGGAAAAGATAGACTGGGAAACGAAATCAGAGTGTTACCTCCTCAGATCTTGCACGGAAAGGCAGAAGGAACCTGCGAGGACAGGGTTTTGACTGTGGGATTCAAGAAAGGAAGAAGAAGAAGCAACAGCGAAAAAAAGAAAAACAAAAGTACGTCGACGACAATGCAAACCCTAAAACACTCGAATCAACGGTTTTGATCCAAAAACCATTTTTAGCTTAAAATCCAATATAGATTTTGTTATGTCGCCAATATTTATTAAAAATTATAAAATTCCAAAAATATAAATCTTAAGCATTTTTAAGAGTACATATTTTCTTGTTGGTACACTTTAATTCTTACAAGAAGTTTTCTACGCAATTCATAAATGTCGAATCACAAGAGAGAGGAGGTAGATAAGCTGACCACAAGAGGAGAGGAGATTAGTGATACCGTTATCTAACGGTAGGGGTAGGGGGTGTTCCCGGGTCGGGTGTACAGACTTTCGGATATCCGATTTCAGTTTTGTCCTAACGCAATCTCATTCTCGCGAGATTCGGATACTCGCGACCCAAATATCCGTAACTGAAATCGGGTATTTCGCAGCGAACCCGTATAAATTTTAGAAAATTTGTTGTCTTTTTTACTTTAAGGGTATATTGATAATTTTATACATAGGTATTATTGTAAATATATCAAAATAATAGGGATATAATATACTCTTAAATTTATTTTTATTCTAGTACCCCTAGATAATCGATTCGAAAAATTGAACATGGATGTGCGGTTCAAATTTTGAGTCGCGTCGCACCGATCATCAACATTCTAAATATTGGATATCCGAAAACCGTGGACTCTGCCCCTATCCAATGGTAATACTTTAAATAAATATATTTTAGTAGTATACTAAATATTTATAGAAGCATAAATTCTAAAAACTCAAGTTTAGATAACATAATTAAATCAGATTAGATTATATAGATATTGGGGTAATACCATTAAAAACCTTGTATTTTTCTCTCGTCGCAATTGTAATCCTATAATTTTTTTTCTTATTAAACTCTCTACTTATTATATTTATATATATACATATATACACACATACACATATATTATATGTATAGTCAATTGGGTTTTATTTATTAATTTTTTAAAAATATAGATATTTTATTGTTAAATATAATAAATAGAGAGTTTAATAGGATAAAAAAAGTATAGGGTTTTATTTGTTAATTTTTAAAAAGGGTAAAACCCCTAAAAAAACCTTCAACTTGTAAAAATATATACAAATAAACTTTCAACTTGAAAAACTGTCATTCAATCCCTGAACTTGTAACTTGTCACTGAATAAAACCTCGAACTTGCAAATTATTGTTCTAATAAACCTTTGACCGGTTTGACCACAATTTCAAACGATCGGAAATCCGTGTATTGACGGATTGCTGATATCATTTTTTAAATTAAAATTGATAATGTGTATAAGGTGACATCAGCAATCCGTCAATACGTGGATTTCTGATCGCCTGAAATTGTGGTCAAACCGGTCAAAGGTTTATTAGAACAATAATTTGCAAGTTCGAGGTTTTATTCAGTGACAAGTTACAAGTTCAGGGATTGAATGACAGTTTTTCAAGTTGAAGGTTTATTTGTATATATTTTTGCAAGTTGAAGGTTTTTTAGAAGTTTTACTCTTTTTAAAAATATAGATATTTTATTGTTAGATATAATAAATAGAGAGTTTAATAGAATAAAAAAAATATAGGGTTAAAATTGCGACAAGAGAAAAATATATGGTTTTTAATGAAATTACCTCATGGATATTCAAATGATTTAGAAGAATTTGTGCATATCAAATATCTCATTTCTCTCGATGATCGTTGAAATATCAATTTCTTGATATATGCTATCTCGTTTTCTTTTGAAATCTACGAGTAATATTTCTCTGCAAATTTGGTTGTTTTCTCATTCTTAAAGTTTTGTAACCAAATTCTTAACATTTCTCTTACAAAAGAATTTCGACAACCATCCAACATGAAATAAAAACACTTATCTTAATATAATATTAACAGCCCATTTTAAAATTATTTTATAAAATGTTAACAAATTGAGCCTATTGCTTAAACTTTAACTCAAGACTAACACCAATAGTAGCATGTAGCATACCAACTTAAGATCATATATATATATATATATATACATATATACACACACTAATTCGGGCGAGAAAAAAGAAAAAGGAGACTATAAATTGATTTGGGTATCTATTTTTTTTTTTTAAAAAAAAACTATTTCTAAAACATATCAACAAATACACGAGATGATATTTCTGTTACATCATAACCATGATTCTTTTAAGATATCCGGTTTTTTGTATTCAAACTTTGAATCAAAATTTGGTTCGATTTTTGTATTTGAGATAATTAATTAAATAAAGTAAGTGTGTCGCCACCAAATTTAAATGTAAAATAAAATAGGGGAGAAAAATGAAAAAGGGAGTAAAAAAAGTTTCAGCTTTTCGAATTGACTTATGCCCAAGAAAAAAAGTGTGAGAAATTTCAGAGGACGCTATAAAGGGGAATCCTATCCATCCACCACCTTCCGTTTCTTTTAATTTTGTTGTCCTCCACTTGCTTTCTCCATATATAAATTAATTTAAATAAAAATATTTTTTTTATAATCCGGAAGTTCACCGGGCCTTTGGCCCGACTACATCTCCTAGAGAATCGGAGAAACCCATGTGAATATCTTCTCTACGTTTAGGTTTGAACCCATGATGAGAGCATACTTTGCATCTATTAATTCAGTTTTATCTACAAATTATAAAGTATTTATACGGTGATTTTCTAATACACCATTATGTTAGCCAATCAACATACAAACAAATGTCATCCACTTTCTTCATATGATTTTTTTTTATCATATGAATCCAGTTTTAACTACAAATTATAAAATATTTATTCGGTGGTTTATATTTTCACTTCAAAACCCTATATTTATTGGGTTTTATATTGGATTTTCGTTGAATGTGAATTTTATATCAATTTAATTCGGATTCTGTTTTATAAATATTAATCTATGATGAAGTCGAACTCCCGTGGAGAGCATTTTCTGCTTTTACTTTGCCGTTTTATCATCCATATTTGGACACAAAAAAAAATTATTTTTCCTAAAAAATTTATTTCCATTCGATCTTTTTGATATTTTAAATTTGATTTATATTCATTTATTTAGTTAAGGAAAAAAATTATATTTAGACCATATTCAATTTTGGAAACAAAATAGATTTTATTACATCCAAGTTGTGTTGCATACATCATTAAATTACATATAAATGACTACTACTTGTCTAGCTTGCGTCTAGGTGTGTTTTTTTTTTTTGTGAATATTGAGGACTTTGTTTATTTTATTCTCTCCTTTTAAAAGTTTGTCTTTTAGATATTCATGTAAGCCTTTTTCTTATAAAATATTTATGAAAGAGAAAAATAAAATAAATATTTGCGAAATAACAAAATAAAAAGGAAGTGGGAACAGACAAGCCCACTCATCAATTTCCTCGGGTGGGTCTTGTCGTGTTGGCTGGCTTGCTGGACCGTGAAGACTTGGTTACAACCATAGCCGTAATCAGTCAACGTCGTATGCAAATTATATTTTTGCCACAAACAAAACTATATATTATATACCGATTCAATTGAATTTTTATATACTTTGGTGTATAATATGATTAAACGTGCTCCATTATTAGTCCAGTTACCTTGTTCTTTGGTTATATCACGGTATCATTTTTTTTAATCATAAAATGCTAACATTTTATACGATCGGTGTACGTTTGAAGAATATTTTTATTGTAGAAAAAATATTAATCAGTCAGAAATAATAATAATAATAATAATAATAATTAATAATGCTCATTTTATTATTTTCTCACGAGACGATTAAATACCTAACTCGCTTTCTAGTAAGCCTCTCGCATGCACCCACTAAAGTTCGTAATTTTCTAAAACTTCCTTTACAGACAACAGAAAAGCTGGTCCGTAAAGGCTCTCGAGCTTTAACTTGGTACCATAATCAACGTCACTCGATGCATGCATGTATACGATATTCATGAGTATACATAACTAGATTTGGAAAAAAAAAATATATTATTTTATTAATTATTTATATAATTAATACTATTTTTTGTTAGCTTTATACAACTAAGACTAGTCATAATAATACTCGGACCACCGCGCGCGATGCTACTAATATAGATCATGCCCGTGTATGCATATTTGTATTCGTGTGATTATGGGACTTCGTCGTTGGTACCATGTGCTATATCTTCGTCGATATATATATATATATACACATATATGTATATATATATTCTGCAACACTTCTAGAGACACCGTGATTCTCTGCTTTTGCTTTTCTCCTATTCCCAAAATTTATTTGGAGAAGTGGGCACTCTCGAGGACAGACTCTTTTGTCGTTTTACATCACAATAAATTTTTTATCTGTATTATTCTAATTTGAAATCATTAATTAGGTTAGTTTAAACTTTTAGTACGACACCAAATACATTGTTAATGGTCTAACATCGTGTGTATATATATATATATATATAAATATTCAAAATTGGATTAGATATTCAATATATGACTTTAAGCAAATATAATTGGTATCCGAATCATGGGCAATGATAACGAATTGACATGCCCAAAACGACATGTCTATTATCAAAATGAGAAAAGTGTTCTTTAAATACAATAAAGAAGACACCCTAATAAATCCTAACCAAATTAAATCAAATTAAACCAAATTAAACCAAATAAAATCATTCTAATACTACACTTTAGGTTATCGTTTTAACGGGTTATAACGATTTTAAAACATTTTGTCTTAGATCTTTAATATTTTTATAATTAAATTCATTGTGTAAATGTTGATCATTAACAAATACAACATTGATATATCGAAACAAAAGCAAAACCCTAAACGTGGCATAGGACAAATCCGAGAATAATATTTTTAAGCATTTTTTTTTCTAATTTAATAACGTGACATGTTTGGTTTGACCAAAAACGACATTGACCACTCGTCCTAGGTTAGGGTTAGGGTTTTGATCGTTCGAGGCTTCTGCGTGGCATTATTCGCAAATGGTTCGAAACAATGATATACTTCCAACAATTTTTTGGCATATTTGATTTATAACCTCAACTAAAATTTCAAAAGTACATACGAAGTGTGTGTGTGTGTATATACACGAAATACCAATTTCAGATATTTTGTTGACCCGGAAAAACGTTTTTTCTTATTTTTAATGAATGATTACTTTTATTTAGTTTCAAGTTTGAGTTTATATTATTCATACATATATCTTTTTCCGAAGTAGTTTATATTAT